TGTGTACAGTAAGAACAATGTTGTACTATGATCAACTCTGAATGACTTGGCTATTCTCAGCAATACAATAATCCAAGATAATTCTGACAGACAAATGATGAAAAATCCACCAGATCAAAGCATACTTTTTGAATTTTCTTTATTTTTCTTGTTTGTTTTTTGTTTGTTTTCTGTTTGTTTTCTTTCACAATATGACTAATATGGAAATATGTTTAGCTTGAGTACACATGTATAACCTATATCAAATTGGTTGCCTTCTTAAGGACAGGAGAGAAGAGGTAGGGAGAGAAGGAACTTAGAACTTAAATTTTTAAAAAATGAATGATAAAAATATTTTTACATATAATTAAGAAAAATATTTTTTTTAAAATGGTTTTGAGTATGGAACCAGCAAAATGAAACACATGTCAGTCAGTTGACTGAGGCCATGGGGCACATGGCCAGTCATCATGGAACATCATTCATCTGTCTCTCAAGATATCTTATCCACATGCAAGAACGTTCACATAGAACTCATTGCCATTTTGACCTTTATAATTCTTTCTTGAATATTACTAGTGTAAAGAGTGGGAACAGGAAGTGCTTGGTCAAGCTCACTGAGCCTAAAGAATGGGGCTTTTGTTCTGCCTTTGAGATATATCCTTAGGAATATCCACATTAACCCCACATTGAGGCAATTTTAATGCAAAAGTTCTTGCTTTGGCTTGTTTCCTGCACTGCTTTGGCAATTTGGTGAAGCCTAAAGCCCTGTTCTCAGAATGATATCTTTAAGTGCATAAAACAAAATATATCAGATTAAGAGAAAAACAATTACATTGAAAACAAGTTACCAAATAACCAAATTATCAAGCTTGAGTTGCTAAGAGTCAGAGTAGAGGAGTATATGCTCCAGCTATGATGGACTACCTATGCAAAGGTACAGAGACAAGTGATGGAATGTTCATCTGTGGAGAAATAAACTAAATGCTGGTGTGGTTAGAGGAAATGTTGGATGGAGACAGAAGTCAAAGATAATTCATGAGAAGCCCCCAAGATTGAAATTGATCTGTGTAAACCCATAAAGAGTTAAAATAACTTTGCTTGTTAGTATCATCTTCCTACATGTTTCTAATTCCACCCAGTTACTGAGACACCCCCGCCCCAGAAGAGACATACACTTGGGGTTTTAAGAGAGCTAACTCTTCATCGTCCAGTGAGTCCCACATCCCTCCTCCACATTATCTAATCAAATATTCAATCATCAAATGGCATAAACAAGCAAGTCATGCAGAAATAAAATTGTAAATGAGTATCAAAAAATTTCCTTTGCTCTCCAGTAATGAAGGAAAAATGCAAATATAGTAAAAACAACTTTGTGGTGCTATTTCATGCTTATCACACTGGTAGAAAAATAATTACAAGTGACAAAATTCAATGTTGATGGTGGACTTGAAAACTGGTGAAATCTTCTTAGAAAAAAGTTTGGTAGTATACAATTAATAATCATTATACACTAATCATACCCTTTGATTCAGTGGCCCCAGTGTTTGTAATTTGCTCTGAAAAAGTAGCTAAAAGAGAAAAAAAAATGTCTTTAATACTTCGAAGAACTACAATTCTGTTCTAAAAGATGAATTCTTAAAGTATGGAGTTATAGGAAATGTCACCCATAGACTTGGGGGGATGCTTTCCTATAAGATTCTCCTTTTCTATATGCACATAAATGGGATTTAGCCCTAAGAGAGGCTAACCCCAAAGAAAGGGAATCAAGCTTTTGTGCTTCCTCTCTGACTCATTATGAGCCCACACAGGAGTTCTAGGGAAAATCTTTTAAAGCTTAAGTATGACTTATACCTAGGATATACTTTCATCCTGTAAAAGGATATCAGTTATAGGATAGCTATTCCCTACACAAATACTTAAACATAAAAGATAAAAAATGTGTGAACCAATACTTTTAAAACATGAAATAATAACTCATCACCTATTATACTCTATTGAGAGGTAAAGATAACTTTTCAGGACTGCTCAACAACTATCTCTTATTCACCTTAGAATGATCATCAGTCTCCAATGAGCTTGTGATTCCAGGTATTCCAACCATCCAAGGCATGACTTGGACCTTTTTAGATGTATCAGCTGCAGTGTCCTCCTGGTGGAGCTAGTCATCTCCCTTAGGAAATCATGGCAGCTTCTACAATTTCCTTCTTTTTGGCATCCAAATTAATACTTTCCAATATTCAAAAAAAAAGTCAATTTCTCAGAATCCCTAGGTTCAGGGAAGTAAACAAGCAAGTAAAACAGAAGAATCAGCCAGTTTCTTTAGGTCCAAGTTCAGTCTTGCCAAGGCATGTACGTGTTCTCATTGCCACATGCACACAGTTACCATTCTTGACAGAAGGAAAGGAAGAGGAGCCACATCCCCCAACACTATGCTGCTGGTGCTTCTCCTATTCATTAAGTACTTTTAGACCTAATATTTGGCAATTTTCCAGCTCACCTCACACTATTCATCTCCTAATGACCACCTGTTTGCAATATGCATGGACTTTGCCCATCCCAAGTTGTTTTGCCTTCTAATATTTTATCTGTCATGATTTTTGTTGCTCATCTGATATATCCTGGCAAGATTCTTGCATTTCATGAATGGCTGGTCTCTTCAGCCTATTACCATGCACAACTTGACAGCTCCTCACCATGTCATCAGTGACCACCATCAATTAGACTCTTTATATGTGACCCAAGCCCAAATTGGAGTTCTGATTTGTGACATATGTGGAGTACGAAGAGGGAACTGGTTACTGGGATGAGAATATTTAACTTGGGGTCCCAGTTTTGTGACTTACAAGTTGTGTGTCTTTGAGCAAGTCATTCACTACTCTGGACCTGTTTCCTTATCTAGAACACAGCTTCTTAAACTTCTTCCATTCACTACCCCTTTCCACTTGAGAAATTTTTATGCGACCCCTGATATATAGGTATATACAATAGGTAAATAATCAAACACTTATTGATAATACATGATAAAGAAATTTATTTTAAGACAATTCTTTGGTATACATATAATTTTACCATTTATTAAAGATGAAAGCAAATTTGCATACTAATGAGATGGAAGTGCTTATTTATTTACAAGTAAATACTTTTCATTGATAGTAACAAATTTCTCAAAATATTGTTTTTCTTTATTTGACGATTTTAAAAGTCATTCAAAATATTCTTTTGGTTCATTGCAGTACACTGCACACTTGGTATTAAGATGCCATTTTAGTTTGTCTGGTTTCATTCTCTCCACAGCCAAAAAAATTTCATTACAAATTAAGCAAAGAGGTTTTCCCACACCATCATCATTATTAGAAGTAAATCCATATTGTAAAATAATTTGACACTTTTTCTTTTTCTTTTTTTTTTTTTGTCAATTTAGGTGTACCTGGTAATGAAAACTCTGGCACATTGTCATCAGTATTTTTACCTCTCCTGTCTACATTTAGACACTTATCTGTAACTGAAAAATATTTTGGTCTAAAATATAAATAAGTATTCCTAATAATTTCTCAAATAAATACTAGCTTTAGTCTATGAAATTACATATGTTTGCGCTTAATTTAAAAAACTGATGTTCACATTTATATACACATACAATGGTGATGGTGGAAAAATATTATTAAAGGGCTTTTGTTATTAATTGCTGCAATTAAACACTTATGTTTCTGTAAAAGAAGGAGATAACAGCAATTTTTAAAATCAAACATTTTAACATAATACAATCCAAAGATATACTAATCTGATATGCTAAGGAATGATGGTAGGAAAACATTAAAAGTCTTTATTTTCCATAATTAAACTATGATGTTTCTGTAAGAGCAGAAAACTGTATGTACAGTATAAACACTGCAATTTATAACATACAATAGTCTTGAATCTGAGATGAGGTATTTCTGGCAGCATTCATTGATGTTGTGTTGCATGATGGCATGCGCAGTGCAAAGCGCACATGTTGTGTGTTCAGAAACAAGACTGCAGTGAAATCAAGCAGTGCAACATGGGCAAGTGCTGCCAGAAACACCTTGGATTCATTATGTGTTTATTTTGAATTAATTTTTGTTTATTACACATTCAAAAACCTTTTACTATTGTCAAATTTTTCACAACCCCCCACATTCAGTTATGCAACCCAATATGCAGCAGAGACCCACAATTTAAGAAGCACTGGTCTAGAAAATAAGGGGATCAGACTATATGATTTCTAAGATTTCCCCCACCCAGAGGATGCAACACATAAGGAAACTGGGCATATAAAATCAAGAGCCAATAAAAAGGAAACCCCATTTGCAATGACTATATCCCCATGCTTGGAACATTCTCCCTTCTCACCTCCAATTCCTACCTTCCCTAGATGCCTCTTACCTTCTGCAAGAGAGTTTTTTCGGTCCTCCCACCTCCCCATCCCAATCAGTCCATTCCCTCTGAGATTATCTTCAAGTTACACTATATATATATATATATATATCTCATAGATATGTATTTATTTGCATGTCGTCTACCCCATTTCAATGTGGGTTCCTTGAGAGAAAAGATTATGTTTTTGACTTTTTTTGGGGGGAGGGGGTATCCACAGCATTTAGAGTAGTGATTGGTACATAGTAAGTAATTAATAAATGCTTGTTGACTTCATGACAAGTAAAAAGGAAGGAAATGACCACTGAAGCTAGGTATTCTCTCCCTGACATTCCATACCAAGTCACATTCCATTGGATTTAAGACTTTGAAAGTTTACCTTTCCCTCTGCAAGGCAGCCTTTTTGTTCATGGTAGTGGCAACAGCTATCCAGAATTGAATTTTCCCTTCATTCTTGGTTTAGGCCTCAATAAGGCCACACTCCCTCAGAATCTGGACAGATTTCACCCAATGTGCAAGAGAAGGGAGCTTCTTTTTTTTGGCGGGGGGGGTTGGGGGTGGGGCCACGGTTGTTAAGTGACTTGCCCAGGGTCACACAGCTAGTAAGTGCTATGTGTCTGAGTCCGGATTTGAACTCAGGTCCTCCTGAATCCAGGGCCAGTGTTCTATCCACTGGGCCACCTAGCTGCCCCAGAAGATGACTTCTTAAGCAACCGTCAGACAACCCAGCAATGGCACTGCAGAAATCAAGACATAGTTCCTTTTTTGTTCATCTGACCTCAAATGTTATGCACTGGCTATTCACTAACATGTGGTGCTGGGCAAAAAGACAACACTGGGGAGCATAATCCAAGGTCTTATGGCCTTGATGCATGAATGTGGGAGGATGTGGCTCAGACTGATTTGATATATTTCATTCTATTTCTCATTTTATACTTTATTGATTTCCCATTGCTTTCTATTTTAATTGATTTTTTAAAAAAATAATAATAATAACTTTGAAGTTAAATAGCAAGTGCTAAATTATTTAAAAGGAGGAAGTTTGCTGGGGTTGGGAACACCTGAGCATTAACTCAGATAATTTGAAACTGAAATCGGCTTTTAAAACTTGAGAGTAGATAAGGAGGCTCTACTTATGATAGCCAGGGCTGGCCTAAAGAAATCACAGGCTATTTCCAAAGTACAGAGTAGGGGCATGGGGTAGAGGAGAGAATCCAACTTTTATATTTCTCTTCAACCATAAAACCCAAAAACCTATACGATGACTTCTGGCTAAGTGACAGGTTGGTGAAGTGAATCCACATGGGCAGAGAAGAAATTCACTGGGGCCTTTGTTATAAACCCAACAGTCTAGTTTCAGCCTAAAGCCTGTGCGTTTCCTGCCCTATTAGAGGTCTGTAAAATCAAATGCCTGATGATAATGCTGACAGCTCCTGAAAGCAGTTCCCTCAAGAAAGAATATTGCCAACCCTGCTCCCAGAACCATGAAGTTTCTGACTGGGCCCCTGTGTGTTATTTTCATTTCAAGATGAAGACTAAATTGCTGGATGGTTTCTTGCTGGGCCATCTGATAAGTCCATCTTTAAAATGTGGTTTAGAAAAGTTACTCCAGGTCACTTGTCCAGCAGACTGCACTGACCTTCTTGTTGTCCATCCTTCTTGCAGCTTTTGCATTCTGTTAAAACTTGATCTTTTACCAGGAAATTCACTCAGACATGGAAGTTCATTTGAGGTTAAAACTGTAAAGTGGCCAATTATCTTTCATTCATTGGTTGCATGTGATCTTTAGCCCAAACTCTGGAAATAAGGACAGCATTTTGCAAAATCTCTGCTCCAAAGCTAATGTTTTGGAAAGAAAAACAGTATATTGGAAATAAATTACATGGTCTTTAATCCATTTTAGTATTATTGCCTGTTAACACACAGTGTTGCTTGCCAACACACGAGAAAGCTACAGTCTTCTTAGCAACCAGCTTTCTGATTTGCTGAATTTATAGCATCTATGTCATATCCTTGAACTGAACAGGACTAGCGAGTAAGCAGCCTGGGGTATTCAGCCTCCCTGGCAAGATGACCCAAAGGAAATCATAAATCACATGGCTATGATTTCAGTTTAGTCACATCACAGGCCTTTAAGAGAAGGGTCAGGTGATGTGGACAGTGATCACAGATTAAGAACTGGAAAGGATTTTAGAGGTCATCCAGTTCAAGCCTTTCATTTTACAAGTGAAGAAATTGAGGCTCGGATAGGTAAGTGACTTGTTCAAGGTCATAGAATCATAGCTTTAGAGTAGGAAAGTCAATAAACATTTATTAAGCACCTACTGTATGTTTCAGGTACAGTGTTGAGTTCTGGGGATACAAAAAGAGGCAAAAGACTGTCCCTGACCTCAAGAAGCTCACAGCATAGTGGGAGAGGCAACAAGCAAATATGCACAAACAAGCAATACCCTGGATAAATAGGAAATAAACATAAGGAAGACAATAGAATTAAGAGGGTCTGAGGAAGGCTTTCTGTAGAAGATGGTATTTTAACTATTGATTAGAGACATGCAAATTAAAACAACTCTGAGGTACCACCTCATAGAGATCAGATTGGCTAATATGATTCAAAAAAAAAAGGAAAATATTGGATTTTGGAAGGGAGGTGGGGAAACTGAGACACTGTTGGTGGAGCTGTGAACTGATCCAACCATTCTGGAGAGCAATTTGGAACTATGCCCGAAGAGCTATAAAACTGCATATCCTTTGATTCAGCAATACCACTGCTAGGTCTATATCCCAAAGAGATCATTAAAAAAAGGGGAAAGGACCTATTTGTACAAAAATAAATATTTATAGTAGCTCTTTTTTGTGGTGGCTAAGAATTGGAAATCAAAGGGAATCCCATCAGTTGGGGAATGGCTAAACAAACTGTGGTAGGTGATTGTAATGGAATATTATTGCACTATAAGAAATGATAAGCAGGATGATTTCTGGAAAAAAAAAACTGGAAAAGACTTACATAAACTAACGCATAGTGAAGTGAACAGAACCAGGAGAACACTGTACACAGTAACAATAATATTGTTTGATGAAGTACTCTGATGACTTAGCTATTCTTAGCAACACAATGATCCAAGACAATCCCAAAGGACTAATAATGAAGCATAGTATCTGCCTCCAGAGAAAGAACGGATATCATTTGAATACAGACTGAAGCATGCTATTTTTCATTTTTTTCTTTCATTTTTTTTCTTTTATTTGATTCCTTTTGTACAAAATGACTAATAGGGAACTGTTTTACATAATTGCATATGTATAACCTATATGGGATTGCTTACCATCTGGGGTGGGGGAAGGAGAGGGAGAAAAGGGAGGGATAGAATTTGGAACTCAAAACTTCAAATAAAAATGTTAATACAAAAAAGAAAATAATAAATTTAAATATGGAAAAAAGAAGATAGAATTTTAGATGGGACTTGAAAGAAGCCAGGAGGCAGAGATGAGGAGTGAGAGCATTCCAGGCATCGAGGGAAAGCCAACAAAAATGCCCAGAGCTGGGAGATGGAGTGTGTTGTTTGTGGAACATCAAAAAGGCCACTGTCACTGGGTTGAAGAATATGTGGTGGGGAATAAAATATAAAAAGACCAGAGAAGGTGGGGCTAAGTTATGAAGGGGTCTGAACATCAAATAGAGGATTTTGATCCTGGAGGTGATAGAGAGCCACTGGAGTTATTCTATGGGAAAGGGAGGAAAGGGAGAGGGGAGGGGGGGTGCCACGATTGGACCTGTGCTTTAGGAAAATCATGTTAATGGCAGAATGGAAGATGGATCTGAGTGAGAAGAGACTTGAGGCAGGCAGACACAGCAGCAGACTATTGTTACAGTCCAGAGTGGTGGCAGTCAGAAGAAAGAATGGGGCATAGTTGAGAAATATTGCAAAGGAGAAATCAAGAGTGGGTTTTTTTTGTTTGTTTGTTTTTAAGATGTGGATAGTGAGAGATAGTGAGAAATTGAGGGTGATACCTGGGGAACTAAAAGGATGGTGGTACCCTTGACAGTACTAGGGAAATTTGAAAGGGGAGAGGTTTTAGGTGGAAAGATAATAAATTTAAATATTGGATGTGTTGAATTTAAGATGCCTATTAGACATCCAGTTTGAGATGTCTGAAGGACAGGGGAAGATGTGAGACTGAAGGACTGGAAAGGATCAGCTCCTCTAGTCTAACTCTTTCCTTCTATAGATAAGGAAGCTGAGGTTCAAAGAAGCTAAGTGACCTGCCTACAATCACTAAAGTCACACAGGTGATGACAGAGGAAGGCTTTGAATTCAGGTCCTTTGATTTCAAATCCAGAGCTCTTTTCATTGAGACTCGCTGCTCCCTCTAGAAGAGCAAAGCCCTAGCTTAAAAATGCCTTTGTTTTTGTTCCTGAGGTGCTAAATGTGTTTGAAATATCTCCCCTCCCTTCCTCCTCCAGCTGCTGCCACCTCCCCCCACCCTTCTTTGAATGGAGTGGAAGGGAAATAGGAAAGGGGTGGAGAGGGAAGGAGATCTTTAGTAAAGTTAATGAAAGTGAAAAGTAGGGAGAGGGAGGCACTTCTTAAGGCAGGAAAAATAGCAGTCAGGTTGACATTTAGCCCCTCTATGTATGCATACAAGGGTAGATCTCAGAATGGAGGGTGAGAGACTGCTGTCTTAGAATAAAATTGTTGTGAATTATATGAATTCTTCTGCAGCCTCTCTTGTTCATTCACCATTGTCTTAGAAGATTAGTCATTAATAATTAGTGAATGATATTGTTCAGTCGTTTTAGTCACCTCTGACTCTTCACGACTCTCTACCTTTTTTTTTCCTGTTTTTGTTTGTTTGTTTTTGTTTTTGGCAAAGATACTGGACTGGTTTTCCATTTCCTTCCCCAGTGGATTAAGGCAAATAGAGGTTAGTGACTTGCCCAGGGTCACACAGCTGGGAGTGTCTGAGGCTGGATTTGAACTCAGGTCTTTCTGACTCCAGGACCAGCACCAAGCCATTTAACTGCTTCCAAGTACACAGTACAAAAGAGAAATTAAATTAAATTAAAAATTCAGCCTTGTCTTTTAGTGACTTTGAGTCTAAAAATAAATAAATAAATAAATGAAGACCTTAAATGATAAAACAGACATTTTTGGCACATTTGGCAAATGGAGCAGTAAAAAGAATGCTGGATTTGGAATCTGAGGATTTGGGTTCAATACCTGCTTCTGTCACTTTGGGCAAGTTATTCAGCTTCTCTGGACCAGAATTATTTCATATGTAAAATGAAGGGTGACCTCTAAGCTTCCTTGATCCTATTATCTTATGTAGCATGTTGTAGGGCAGATATAGAAACCATTTTTTGGTGTTAAGTTCTTCATGGATTTGTTTAAAGGGATCTCCAATATATTACTATGCATTTGAGTAAAGAAGGTGTTAGGTTTTCCTGCAACCTCGAAACAAGGCATAGAGGAATATAAAGGCCATATCGATTTACAAAGTCAAAACTCCTCTGAATCAAAAAAAAAAGAACATTGACTGAGTAAACAAATATTTTTCTTTTTGTCTTTGCATCACCAAAACCTAGCATAATGCTTGACAAAAAATAGATGCTTAATCAATGTTGACAAAATTTAATTAAATTACATTGTATCTGTGTAAGGGGAATAATACTTCCAAAGAATAATAGACTTGGAGTCAAAGGTCTTGGTCTGAACTTTGGCTCTTATTACCACTTTTTACCTATGAAATCTTGGCTCCATTATTTCCCTCTGTTGGCCACAATTTTCTATCTGTGAGAGGATTGGATTAGATTTTCTCTAATGTACTTTCCAGCTCTAAGACCTCACAGAGTAATGGTGAGGGAAGCACTTTATAAAGGGCCCTATAAAAGGAAATTACTATGTAGATCACAGGCTTTAAAGGAAAGGGGCCTTTAAAGATCATCTAGCTGCTCCACATAGGTTAAGTTACATACCTAGGGTCATACCAGTAATAAGTAGCAGAGATTCAAGTCCAGGATCTTTGATTCCAGATCCAGCATTCTTTCCATACTGCTGGGTTGATGAGTGAAGAGTGCAGCATAACATGATTCCTAAAGTCACTTTCAACCCTGAAATCCTACGGGTCTGTTTCTAAGTAGACCCAGGTCTGACCTTACCTCCCCAACAGCCTTTGTGAGACAGTCCTCATTCCCTCTGCACATATCACCGGATATCATTTTTGGGAATATAACTTCACACAATTTGGGCCAATAGCTGACCAATGGCCCAAAGACAACAGGGTTATCAGGTATTACCTCACGTCCCCAAAGCTAACCAGAGCCAGAGGAGGGTCCTTTTCCCAGCACAAGCCTCCACCCACCTCCCTCCTGCTGCTGCAGTGGGGAGCACTGGCTTTGGAAGGATGCCTAATCTCCAGTGTGGGACTTGAACCTTTGGCCTCCGGGCCAGAGGCAACAGAGCTACTAGCTGGGTGACACTGACCTACTTCCTGATTGGGGAACTAAATGGAGCCAGAGGTATGTGAGGCATTTCTTTTACTGGCCTCAGTAGGACCAGCAAAATCAAAAGCTGCCCACCCCCAAGGACAGTTGATGACCTTCAGAGAAGTCTCCCAAAGGGAGGAGTGTATCTAGCTTGCTTGTTTTGGTTTGCCCAACACTTAATATACTACCTGACATATATACATAGTGTGCGTGTGTGTGTGTGTGTGTGTGTGTGTGTGTGTTTGTACATATGTATAGAGGGGGAGAGAGAGAGAGAGAGAGAGAGAGAGAGAGAGAGAGAGAGAGAGAGAGAGAGAGAGAGAGAGAGGGAAGTTGCTATAAGTAATGAATAAGG